GGGTGCTGGGTGGATTGGATGAATTGGGTGCTGGGTGGATTGGGGGTGCTGGGTGGATTGGGGGTGCTGGGTGGATTGGATGAATTGGGTGCTGATTGCCGGTTACACGCTGGTCGCTGGGCGTCGCTGTTACGTCCCGGTCCGCTCCCGTGGTCCGTACTGCCCCCTGGCGGTGATCCAGGTATCTGCTCGCGGCCGGAGCCAAAAAACAACCGGGCACCGGGAGCGCGCCGGCGCCGGAGCCGGGGGTTCGCCCGCCCCGGACACTGACATTCCGCGAGACTGCGGTGACGGAGCTTCAATAACCGAGTGGGAGAGCCAGCGGCACTGGCGCCGGAACCGCCTGAAGGAAAAGAGACAACGGCCAGTGAGCATTCACGGCGAGAGGAGGGGCAGGATAAAGGGGTGTGTGTAAACCAACTGGAGAGAATCTCAATCCACAACTGATCCGAGTCAGAGGCTGCACTTGCTCTCCAAGACACCCTCAATCAGAAGCCTAAATTTTACCTTTTAATTTTACTTTAATTCTAGTTCCAATTCTAATCTCATTCCCACCCCCTTGTTTAACCCTCGTAATTCTAACCTAAATCCTGTCTCCAGTTCCAATTCTATTCCAGCCCCAACCTAATCTTAATCCTAATCCCAACTCCACTAACCATCCTAGCACAAATATTCATTTTAATCTCAATTCCTGAAGTATCCACACCTAACCCTAACTCGTCCCTATCTAATTGTCATTTCTGGCCCTAACTCACCCACAGTTTGGATCTCCTGGTGCCCCATGGCAACTAATATTGTGCTGGAGTGGCTGAAGAGCTTAAAATTGTCCCAATATGGCGAATCCTTTATGGACAATGGTTATGATGACCTGGAAGTTTGCAAGCAGATTGGGGAGCCTGACCTGGATGCGATTGGGGTTGAGGTTCCTGGGCACCGGAAACTCATCAAGGCAGCTGTGGCACGACTCCGTGAGGAAGAGGAAGCTGGCACTGTTGTTTACTTCACTTTGGAACCACGAGCTACACCTCTTTGCCAGCCTTATACTTACCCCAACCTGAAGGAATATCGACCCAGAATGAGGACTGTGCTGTGGAGGGGAGCACAGAAAACCAGTAGGAAAGGGCTGAATGACATGACATCCAGCAGGCGAGCAGGCCTCAAGAAAAGGGTGATTTACTCCAAGCTCATACTGAAGATGAAGAATAAGCAACAACGGGGCAGCAAACATCCTTCCGCTAATAAAAAGGTTAGTGATGGGCAGTAAGGGTGAGAAAAAAAGTTCCCTTTATTCTGACTCTTTTGGGATATAATTAACAGGAACATGAAGGGGACTAAAGTACTTGGCATGATTTGAGTTAGAAGGTGGTTTGAATGGCAGTTGGCATCAGATGTGCAGGAGATTTATCTTGTAACATGGACAAATCACTTGTATAGGATCAAGAGACAGCTCACTGTCACCGTCTCATGGGCAATTAGGGATAGGTCTCTGCCTTTGGCAGTGATGCCCAAATCCCATGTTTATAAAAAAAATTTGCAGTGGATGAAAGGTCATTTCGTATCTTGCAGGAAAGTGTAAAGCAATCACAGATGTTGGAATCTGTCAATTTGTTGTGAACAAATGGGAATTTCAGTTCCATATCGGTATCTGGTCAGAACTTGAGTTTGGTGTGGATAGGGATCTGTTGGGATTTGAGACCTGTACAGGAGTAAAGATAGTTACATTTGTGCAGATATTTGTGTATTGTACAGAAATACAGCAATCTGCCTGATTTTTGTATTAAGTATATTATCACAGGAACGCTATAGGTAATTTGAATTCTAAGCAGAAATCTCAAAATTTGCCCAGCGTTTGAGTTCCTCACTAATAGAATACATTTTCTTCATATTTTCGTTTTATAGTGAGGTATGATAATCAGATACATGCTTGAGTGCTATACAGATACATAATAGCTGTCAGATATGAGATTTATTTGTTCTTTTATGTAATTCATACAGAAATTTGGAGGGGCTTCATCAAAATTATACAGGGTTGAAAAATTGTTAATGAGCAGTAACTTGAGATACTCGATGTATTTTTGCTGGAGTAGAGAAAGCTAAGAGGAGACTTAATGTTTTCTTTTAATTATGGAGAAGTTTTGGAAGAGTGGTTGGAGAGTCAGTGATGAAGTGGTCTCGATTTTTAAAATTTGTCACTAAGAAGTGAGAGGAGAGCTGTTGGAACATAAAATGCTTCACCACAGGGACTGGTTGGTCCTGTGAAAATTGGATGAATATTTGAAATTAGAGCAAGATACAGAATGATGGGGAAAGAACGACGTAGTGGGATTCATTTTTGCAATAGTTTAACTAACTGACATGAACACAATGGGATGATTATGTAAGGATAAATATTTGATTTAACCATGTATTTACAGTCTATACAGAATATAATGTATTGAATTATTTGAGCCTACACGACCTACCTTTTGGAATGTGTTAAGCATTTGAGGTCCCATAGAGTAGTCACATTTGAGATATGTATCTTCCAATGGAACTCAATTAACACAGTTTCCAGCATTTCTTACCCATTTAAGTCAAGTCCAAACATCTGTTTGAGTTTAGTGGTGTTAACCATTCCCCAAAGCAGTCTAGCTTTAGGCCTGAAGGGAAAGACATGATCACACCCTCTGTTAAAAAAACATCTGATAAAAGCCAATGATTCTCCCTGAAGACGAAAGCATAGGTAAAAATCTATTGCAAAATCTTTGTCTAACTGAAGGAGAGTATCAAGATGGGTCAATCGTCTCCAGTGAAACAAGAGAACTGAGAAACACTTGGTATTAAATATTCTTTAAAAGGAGAATAATTAGATCAGTTAATTGGTTCCTCCAGATATTTAGTTGCAGAGAACCTGAGTTTTTTCATTTCTATTCTTAGAGGGTTGTCAAAGCAACATTTTTCCCTCATTTGGATTTCTGTACGAGTATTGGTGTAGTTGTTGTTCTGTTGTGAAGATATTTTACCCTTGTCAGTTTGGTGAAGGTACGAAATGTCAAGCTTATTGCATTGAATTTTGCTTGAAAGATGGCCAAATGTTACAATGCCTGGCAATTTAAAAAGAATTGAACTGCTGCACTAATAGATACTCGTGCTTATGACTGGCATTATTTCTTGCAATTTGCTGGTCTCCCAAACATGCTCAGTATTCCGGCAATCACAATCCTATGTCAATCACACGAACCAGCAATTTTGCTCAGCCATCCTGTTGCCTGGGAAACCCTTTCCCAGCAGCAAACGATGTATGCCTGACAACCAGTTTGACACCGAATTGAAAATTGAAAGTGACCTCTCGTTATATTGAGGCTGAGTAGCTTGGCAGAGCACTAAAATGATTAGGATTTGAAGGAGCACTGTGTATTGTGTTAAAGAAATCTCTTTTAATGATTTCTTTTTATTGGGGCCAGCATAATTGTTTTCAAACCATTAAAACAAATAAATCAAAAACCACTTGAGTAAACTTGCCTGGCATTTTAAAGGCACTCACCATTGAATTTTGGGAAGATTTAAAGTTGATAAGAACTGAAAATGGATTTCTAAAATGTTGTAAATTGAGTAATGATTAAATGTTACAGTATTGTTTGAGTGAGTTAATGAGGCAATGTTACCAGCCCTTCTGAAAGGACGAATGGGCAAACCAAACAGCACCACCAGAAAGAATGCATATGGAATTTTGTCCATATCAGTGAGATGGTGCTATGGAAACAAAAAAAAAATCTCTGTAATAATGTAGAAAAGAGAGTTTATTCCTCGACAGGTAACATGGTCATGGGTAAACATAGAAGTACTGAAATACCCCCTGCAGAAAGAGAATGGAAGATGATACATTTCCTCCAAGTGCATGATGACATGTTGCAGAATGTCCTGAAACCAATAAGTTGGAAATATGAAATTATCTCTTGAATAATGTTTGTGTATATGTGGCATTATGTTGTGCGAGGGAAAAAGTGGAGAGTGTCTTGAGATATTATTATATCTCCTGGGAGCTGATGTGGACTTGTTACATTTTCTTCTGAAAGAAATAATGTTGGAAGTGAGCTTGATAACTTTCTTCCGAGGAGCTAAAATTTAGATGATAGTCATGAAAAATATTGTGGAAATCTTATTGTATCCATGGAGGTAGATAATATGGAAATGTGACAGTATGTATTGGGGTCAATGTGGAAATGTGATAATATCCCCAACAAGAGAAAATGTAAAAAAGATGCAGCATCTCACGGGAGATGGAAGTAATTGTATTTCTTCTGAGGTAACAGAAATATTTTGACCTGGGAGGGATAATGTAACAATATGTCTAGTGGGGGCTACTGTGGGAATGTGATGACATGCCTGGGGAAGGATGATTTAGAAATGTTGCAATCTATGTATTAGGGACAATATAGAAATTGTACAATGTCCTATTTTGTGAAATAATGTGAAAAATATAAAGATGATGTGGCAGCAATATTGTATTACCTCTGAGATGATGGAATTGTGATATAATGTGTCATAGAATGTGGAAATGTGACAATACGTGTTAGGGATAATATAGAAATGTTATAATATGTCCTGCAAGAAGCAATGTGGGAAAGATAAAGCTGATGTGGTTATAGTGCAATATTTTCTCTGAGATGATGGAAATGTTAGAGTATCTCCTTGTACAGATAATTTGAAAGTAACAAACCACCTGAGAAAGATAATGTGGAAATGTGAAAATACTTTCTGACAGATGGAAAATGTAAATCCCTCCTGACAGGTTATTTGGAAATGATAAAATACTTCAAGAGAGGGGGCAAATGTGACAAAATCTCATGGGCAATAATATGGAACTCATACAGCCTCTCCTGAGAGAGGTTTTGTGAAATAGTGGCACATGAAAAACATAATGTACAAATATTCCAGTATTATGTGACACAGATAACGTGGAAAGGCGACAGTCCAGGTGCAGATGTCGCACTTGAGATAGTAAATGTGGAATTGTTGCAGAATGCTCTGAGACTGATAAGGTAAATGTATGATATTATTTCATGAGTGAATATAATGGTGATTCCTGCAACAAGTCAAGTGGAAATGGCACAGTCTGTCTTGATTGTAAACTGCGCTATCACAATATAACCTGGGGGTTAATGTAAAAATGTTACATTATCTCCTGAGAGAGGGAATGTGACAAGATCTCCTGAGTAAGAATTTTGAAATAATGCAATATTTCCTGAGTGGGAATGTTAGAATCTTGACAGTCTCCTGAGGTAGATAATGAGAAATTGATCCAGTACCTACTGAGACAGATCTGCAAATGATATGATACCTCCACACAGAGAGAATGTGAAAATGTGACTGTATCTCACATGAAAGGTAGTAGAGTTGTTCGCATACCTCTTAAAAACATGATATGGAAATGTTACAGTATCTATTGATAGAAATTTATATGGACGTATGACAGAGCCTCCTGAGAGAGAGAGAGAGAGCAGTAATACGGAGCTGGTACACTAGATAATGTGGAAATAATATAGTGTTTAATTAGAGATGATGGAAATATTTCTCTATCTCCTGAGTGAGATATACAGAATGTACACAAATGCAAAAATGTGGCATTGTCTCCTAAGGGAGAAAATGTGCAAATATTGCAGGACCTCATATGGCAAATGACATGAAATTGTCATTCTGTCATCTGAGAGAGATAATATGGGATTATTGCAGAATGCTTTGAGACAGATAAGCGGTTATATGATTTTATCTCCTGTAAAGGTTTATGTGTAACATGGAACTACTTCATGCAGGAGATCAGGTGGATATCATTCAGTCTATCTTGAAATAATCTACAAATATAACCACATAACCTGGACATTCATGTGAAAAAGCTACATTGCCGTTTTGTCTTTCTGACAGGAGATAATGTTAAGATATCTTTGAGAAATAAAGTGAAAATGCGTCATTGCCCCTTAAGAGCTATAATGCAGAAAAGGTACAGTATAAATAACGTGGAAATGATATAATTTGTTTTAGTGATGATGCAAATGGTACAATATCACCTGAAACAGATAAATGTAGAAATATGGCAATATCTTCCAAAAGGGAGAATTTGGAGCTGTCTCAGTAGAACCTATATCTTTTAAACTGTCTGAGTTGTATGTGTTTTTAAGTATGGGATTTCAATTTAAGTTAGTACATATGGGTTTTTGGTGTATGTGAAGTTAATAATTGTAGCCATGGTGATTTCATTTAAAACTATTT